ATGTGAGGGCGCGCTTAGGGGCGGCTGCGGCCGCTCCAGCCATCTGCGTCATCTCCCACCTCCGGTCTTCTTGGCTGTGAATTGACACCGGAGCCTGGTGGAAATGGGGCAAAGAGTTCGGTATATGCAACGCAAGTCTTCTACCACTTAAAACTAGTACACGCAGAAGTCATCGGGTCTACCTACAGCTTGCGGAGGCACACCGTAGACCGTGTCAAAACCGCCCGGCTAACTGTAAATTCACTGCGGTGTTATCAGGAATAAATTCAGTGTGGATGAGTGTTAATGCTGGGGACGCAAATCATAACGGACATAGTGCACCTTGTATTTGGTCATCGCAAACTCGCCGAGGATGTTTTCGGTGTGGGTGGGAGATCACATAAAATATTACTCTGGCCGCTGCGATAGTTGTTCATGAATGCTATTTGGTCAAGTTAGCAGGAAGCGTTTATAGAATACTTATCTAGCGAACAAGTGCAGCTCTGCTAAACCGCTTGCCCGAAAAGTATTCCAGTATTTGTCTATTTTCCCGTATTTGTTGTTTTAAAGCTCACGCTCCGCAGCTCAAACATCGTGGTTGGGGGGGAGAGGGGGAGAGGCTAGTGAATAGCGTCACCCGTCGAACAGTAGAAACCGTATTGGTAAGAGAAAAGGACGAATGCGCACTTGCAATAACTGAATCCACAAGTGATTTCACCGAATTAGTCGGCAGTATTTCAGATGAGCTGGTACGCCTTCTTATCGTTGATGCACTCAGCAATCAAGCTCCCTGCAACTTAGTACACAAGAGTAAGTACACGAAATGAAATCTGCACTAAGACAGGCAAAAGGACTGGCGGTTGCCAAAACACGTAATTATAAACGCTTAAAGTTCAATTATTCAGAAATTTTACCGGTTTCTTGTAAATATCAGTAGTTTTGATTACTATAAAGAACTGGTACTTCAAAAAACTACCGAATACTTTTTGAATCTGCGTACACTCAACGTGGACACTGCTGACAGCGCTCTATCTCCTAAGCTCTAGGCCTTACCTGATTGGATGTTCGCATTTCGAAGGGGGGCTTGAAGGTCAGGAAAACCTTTCAGCTGATTGGCCAAATCGCCCAAGCTCCCCGAATGTGTGTCGTTTCTTGTCAGCTGCGCAATAAATGAGTCGCGTGTGTTAATCTGCACAACAGGTCGAGTATGGTCTGTCTACGTTTTCCTCTGTGTACTTAGCCACCTTGGCGTTGAGGTAGGTAAGTTGTGGTATCATTTGCCTCACTTGCACCTCCTGAAAGTTCGCATTAATTTCCCTCGTTTGATGTACACTATCCTTTACTAATTTAAGTTAGAATTTCTTTATTTAATTTTAACCAGAAGTGACAATATCCCATACCAGTAAACCTGGAGGTACGAATGAAGCTACTCAGGAGGAGAGAGAGTTCAAAGACCAAAATAAACAGAGAACTTCAAGGAAACGTTTGTTCTGTGGTCTTTTATTTAACTAGACAGTTAGGTTTTATTCAACAAATAACAGGGACTGCTCCGTGCATCACAAGAGCCGACAGATAAAACAACACCACTTTGTCTGTTGCCACTTTTTGAGTACTACTATTCAAAAAAATTGTTTTGTCGTTGCTCTGTTAATCCTGGATAAACGAACCCTGGTTTATCGAGCAGAGTGGAACGTTGAGGTGCCGTTCCAGGGTGAGACTCATTTTTCATGCCCTGTATATAATAAACGACCGTATTTCAACACCTATTTAGGGTAGATTGTCGATTCATGCCGAAATAGCGCTGAGATTAAGTTGCCAAATTCATTTATATAGTCATGACGGACAGGAATAAGTCCAAAAGTAGCAAGCACGACCTTCTTAAATTATCTGTAATCGGACACATTGTCTAAATGTTTACATACATGTTTACATGTATGTTTCATTTGTCAACCTGTCTTTAAACTATTCGAAGGATCAACTTCAAACTTGTACTGCCAATAAGCCTATGTTTACACCTTTTAGATAACGGTTTCATTTAAACTCATGTTCATTGTTGCCAATTTAGCCTATCAACAAATGATGCAACAGACAAATGCACGTCAGAATGAGTTAAGTAATTGCAATTTATTTCCATCATATGTTTATAGCAAAATATAGCCTCTGAGGAGTGCTAGGGCACTTTCAGCAATTGCGGTATGGAAATTTGTATATACAGTATGGCAAATCCTGCATGCAACTTTCATGACGAAATTTAACTTGTTAGTTTAGCACATATTTGGACAGGCTATTTTGATTAATTGAGTGTATTTAATCATTAGAATGGCTTTAGTTGGAAAAACTGCCCTCTTGGTTAAAGTAATGAAGCGAAGTAGGCACTAATTTTGGCTAAATAATGAGCAGGCTTATATCAAAGGCATGTTCTAAGCTATAAGGTAAAACAGAACCAAACTTTTTATTATTATGCATTATACTATGGAAGAATTCCAGAATAAGTAAAAAATGTGCAAAATGATCCCTGCCAGAACTGGACAATTTTGTCCGAAATTGTTCAGTTACAAATGGAGCCAAGTTTAAGTATTCGCATTTACTTTCAGAAACAAGCAACAATTTTAGTGAGAAGAAGAAGACTCGATCGCTGAGCAATATGTTTATTCGCCTGACGTTTCGACATCCGTCGCGGATTCATCATCAGGGGCATGCGTAGCAGAAACAGGTAAAGAATGCATTGAAGTTTGCAGTATTTATAACATAAGTCATTACTGCAAACATAAAGCGACAGTTAACGTTAATTGCCTTCTTGCGCGTGGATTGATTGTCGGACGGCACGCGGGCTCTAAATTGTTGAACTTTCATCACGGGCGGTGCGCTCGAGCGTGACGATTACTCGGCCGTCTGGCTCTTCGGTGTTGCCGTACGATGAGGCGGTGGCCTGCCCGTTCCTCAAGTGACGACTTGCTTTGGCCAAATTAAATCTCAGCATTGAATATAGATTAGGCAAATCGTTGCACTTT